CTTTAGTCCGACAGAAGCTGAACCGCATCACAGCACAAGGAGCGAGCTGTTTTGAGCGTTTAGTTTATGCAAATGAGTCATGTGGTTTTAAGTTTCGTTTCTTTAAAATGTAAACAAATGTGCTCAAAGCTGTGTGGACAGGGAAGGATTGCGGACACAGAATCGACGTGTCTGGATGCAAACTGTTTTCGATACGGTGATTAGTTTCAGTGTAAACGAAGCCTTAGGCAAGACACTATGAACCAGGCATGTCCAAACTACGGTCCGTGGGCCAAACGCGGCCCTCGGACAAATTTTTCTTGGCCCTCAGGCTTCCAGGTGATTTAGCCCAAATGAATCAATTAAAAATGAAGTTTTTACTGCAAGTTTTCTGAAAATCTACTCTGATAAAGCCAATACTGAAGATTTAATGTGTGGTTTGAGGATTTTAGAGTGAATAAAGACTGATGGCTCATTCTAAAGTGTTAAACATGCACGTATTTCAATTATTCACTGTATTGAGCACCAGTCTATGGCCCTCGATTGGCCCCCTGCTTCATCTCTGTTTAGAAATGTGGCCCTTGATGAAAAAAGTTTGGACACCCCTGCTATAAACCTACATAGGCTCTATTCACACTTACGTCACAAACCAGAAAGACGTTTGGAAACATGCGACGACAACTTCCGGTCGGCTCTGTTCGTGGTAATAAGTCTGACAAAATGTAGGAAAAACTGGTCCAGTTTTATTCATCTGTCATTGTCCCGTTCCGTCGGCTAATCAACAATTACAACCAGAGGTGGGACTTGTAAGTCGTGACTTGGACTCGAGTCAGATTTGAGTCACTATTTTTAGGAATTGAGACTTGACTTGATAAAATGGACTAAGACTTGGGACTCGACTTGGACTTGAAGGTCAGTGACTTGAGGAGATCTGATGTTTCGCCCCCAAAAAATAAATGTTTTTATAAAATACTTTTCTCTTTACAGTTGATAAATGACTTTTAGAGAAACAAACTGGAACATGTCGCTCCCACTTCTGTTTAGTACTTTGGATGTAACTGAAGTACTGTGATACTCAAATGTACTACAGTAATATACAGTACAATACAGTAAAACACAAGGAACTACAAAGAACACAATCCTTTCACCTTGAAACGCCTGGATTAAACCAAGACTGAACTGAAGACTGACACCGACTGGAAAGACTGAACTGACCAAGACTGGAACCAAGACTGGACCAAGACTGGACCAAGACTGGAACTGGAACTGGACTGGACCAAGACTTGACCAAGAGTGAACTGACCAAGACTGACTGACCAAGACTGAACCAAGACTGACCAAGAGACTGAACCAAGACTGAACTGAACCAAGACTGAACCAAGACTGGAACCAAGACTGAACCAAGACTGGACCAAGACTGAACCAAGACTGAACTGAACCAAGACTGAACCAAGACTGGACCAAGACTGACTGGACCAAGACTGACTGACCAAGACTGACCAAGACTGAACCAAGACTGGACCAAGACTGGACCAAGAATGGACCAAGACTGGAACCAGGACTGAACCAAGACTGAACTGAACTGAACCAAGACTGAACCAAGACTGAACCAAGACTGGAACCAAGACTGGACCAAGACTGAACTGAACCAAGACTGAACCAAGACTGAACCAAGACTGAACCAAGACTGAACAACTGAACCAAGACTGAACTGAACCAAGACTGGACCAATGGACCAAGACTGAACCAAGACTGAACCAAGACTGAACTGAACCAAGACTGGAACCAAGACTGGACCAAGACTGGACCAAGACTGAACCAAGACTGAACCAAGACTGGACCAAGACTGAACCAAGACTGGACCAAGACTGAACCAAGACTGAACTGAACCAAGACTGAACCAAGACTGGACCAAGACTGGACCAAGACTGAACTGAACCAAGACTGAACCAAGACTGGACCAAGACTGAACTGAACCAAGACTGAACCAAGACTGGACCAAGACTGGACCAAGACTGAACCAAGACTGAACCAAGGACTGAACTGAACCAAGACTGAACCAAGACTGAACCAAGACTGAACTGAACCAAGACTGGACCAAGACTGACTGGACCAAGACTGAACCAAGACTGAACCAAGACTGAACCAAGACTGGACCAAGACTGGACTGGACCAAGACTGACCAAGAGTGAACCAAGACTGGAACTGAACCAAGACTGAACCAAGACTGAACCAAGACTGAACCAAGACTGAACCAAGACTGAACCAAGACTGGACCAAGACTGGAGACTGGACTGAGACTGGACTGGACCAAGACTGAACCAAGACTGAACCAAGACTTGAACCAAGACTGACTGGACCAAGACTGAACTGAAACCAAGACTGACTGAAACCAAGACTGAACCAAGACTGAACCAAGACTGAACCAAGACTGGAACCAAGACTGGACCAAGACTGAACCAAGACTGAACCAAGACTGAACCAAGACTTGACCAAGAACCAAGACTGGACCATTGCATTATTATTATAAACAAAATTAATCAACAAAAACTTACTAATCTTGGGCAGGGATCAGGTTCCATATAAACTGACAGTAAATATAGAAAGTTGTGATTGTAGAAAAGTCAGAATTGATTTTCTGATTCAAAATTATTCCAAAAAGTATCTGACGAGGAGACTGAAGGGAACATCGTTATCGTACAAAGGTCTTTCTTACTTCCACATCTTAATCAGTTTATTCAAGTCTTGTGTAATCGACTTCCTCTACATGGATTAGACCAGCGGTTCTCGGACACGTTCTCGGGTCTAAACTAAGACTAAAACCATTTCTAGAACCTAAGAGGACTTTTATTTGCTGCCTATTTTGTTCATAATATCTACAGTCCCCAACATCAGACACTGCATGTTTTTCAAAAGTGGTTCAACCCAACCGTGTGCGTGAGAAAGTGTTGTTCGTGTTTGTGTTTTATAACCTGCTTTAAACCTCTTTATGTGACACAAATCTGATCATAATCTGATTTCCAGAGTTATCAGATTACGTAAACAGTTGAATCTGAAGTGCGTAATCTGATTTCTTTCCGATCCTGCGGGTTTGGACGAGGAAAATTAAGCAAAAAACGTCCAAATAATGAAAAATGACACGTGAAAGATTGAAGATTGAGTTGTTTTTCGTTGAGTTTTTAGGGTTTTTTTGATGATCAGATTTCGTTTGTGCCTTTTGTCCCGTTGTGGTTCGATGTGGAGAAGGTTTTAAACGGTCGTCATCTGGACACCGTTTTCGCAATCAAGATGTTCAAGCTCCCGTCCAAAAAACATTTCCAGTTTGACGATACTGGCCTGATGTTCGAGGATTTAAACCACCCGGAGTTAAATTATTTACAAGCGAACGTAACAAGCCATAATTATGTTAGTGAGGAAATAAGAGGAGGGCAGAATCGCTCTAAAATTCGTCCAATTCCAGCTGGACTTTAACTCGGAATAGAATAAAACGTGTTCCCTGAAGCCAGAGCAAGCCGTGTGTTAGTCGTTCATCGGTTTTTCAAAATAAAACCAAAAATAAAGAAATGATAAAACAACGATTTTCTTTATTTTTGTCTCCAAAACCAAAATGAAAAAAACAGATAAAGATTTGTTTTTTCAGTTTTTGATTTTGTGTTTAAATGAAAAATGGAAAAAACGGATAACGGCCGGACTGAACCAGGACTAAACCAGGACTGAGACTGTCCGGTGATCAGGACTGAGACCAGGACCAGGAGGACTAAGACCAGGGACCAGACTGGGAACAGACTGGAACAGAGCCCGGGACCAGACCGGGACCAGACTGGGACTGAGACCGGAACCAGGACCAGACCAGAACTGAGACCAGGACCAGACCAGAACTGAGACCAGGACCAGACCAGGACTAAGATCAGGACCAGGAACAGACTGGGAACAGACTCGGACTGAGAACGGGACCAGACCAGGACTAAGACTGGGACTAGACTGGGAGTAGGACCAGGACTGAAATCAAAACTGACTGGTTCAGTCCTAGTTCAGTCCTGGTTTAGACCTGGTGTAGTCCTGTTTTAGTCCTGGGATCAGTCCTGGTTCAGTCCTGGTTCAGTCTTGGTCTGGCCCCAGTCTCAGTCCTGGTCTCAGTCCCTGTCTGGTCCTGGTCTGGTCCTGGTCTCAGTCCTGATCACCCGACAGTCTACACTCAGTCCTGGTTCAGTCCTGGTTCAGTCCTGGTTTAGTCCTGGTTTAGTCCGGCCGTTATCCGTTTTTTTCCATTTTTCATTTAAACACAAAACCAAAAACTGAAAAAAACTAATCTTTATCCAATTTTTCATTTTGGTTTTGGAGACAAATAATGAATAAAATAGTTGTTTTTTCATTTTCTTCTTATTATTTGGTTTTATTTTGAAAAACGAATGAACGAACGACACACGGATTCAGAACCATCGAACTGAAAACGGCTTCTGGGTGGGAGTCGAAACGTTGATCGCAAAAACCTTCTCTACATTTAAACCCACACTCAAATCAGATTTCTTCATTGGGTTATCTGATTACTCTGGTTATCTGATTACTCTGGTTATCTGATTACCCTGGTTATCTGATTACTGATTACCCTGGTTATCTGATTACTCTGGTTATCTGATTACTCTGGTTATCTGATTACCCTGGTTATCTGATTACTCTGGTTATCTGATTACCCTGGTTATCTGATTACTCTGGTTATCTGATTACTCTGGTTATCTGATTACTCTGGTTATCTGATTACTCTGGTTATCTGATTACCCTGGTTATCTGATTACCCTGGTTATCTGATTACTCTGGTTATCTGATTACTCTGGTTATCTAATTTCTACTTGTCACGTTTATGTTTCTAATTCTTGTTCTTTACCGTTTTTTTTGTTTTCTCCTTTTCGCAACTCTCTCCCGCGATCTCGTCCAGGCCGCCAGCTGACCATCTTCAACAGCCAGGCGTTCATCAAGATCGGCGGCGGCGGTGGCGGGGAGAAGGGCCGTCACTTCCAGGGCCAGATCTCGGGTCTGTACTACAACGGGCTGCAGGTCCTGAAGCTGGCGGCGGAGGGCGACCCCAACGTCCAGACCCAGGGCAACCTGCGCCTGGTGGGGGACGTGCCCTCGGTGCTCACCACGGACACCACCTCCACCACCCCGCTCGCCGACATGTCCACCACCATCATGGAGACCACCACCACCATGGCCACCACCACCACCCGCAAGCAGCGTTCGTCGCCCACCATGAGGGACAGCGTCACACAGGTGAGCTCGAGGTGAACTCTGGAGGTTTCACATTATGGGACTGTCTACTTTTTCAGTTCTGATACTGATACTTTGACTTTAAGAATCTGCCGATACCTGATTCAATTTATTTTAATGTTTTTAAGACCTTCTGATGCCACATTTTAAAGGTACGATCAGTCTGGTTTGGGTGAAAATCTGGATCCCCGCGTATTTCTCTTGATATAGGCGAGTTTCATTGTTGACAAAAGCACGCGTTGCATGCTGGGAATTATTTTGGTCGGCGGCAAGAAACACTAATTCAGACGGAGCGAGAAAGCAAGTAAAGGGTATTGATCCCGGTTATTTATCCACTCTAACGGCAGAGGACCCAAGACCATTTGACCAGAAATTGGTCATAAACATCGACGGACGACAAATCACCCTTTTCAACCCCGACAAAAGGTGGACCAAACCAAATTTCTGGTCAGAATCGCCAACTACCTGGACAAATATTCACTTGGGCGATATCCACAATGACTTGGTGGAAACTCCTGGGCCATTCACAGCAGAAAAGATGAAAACCTCCAAGAGTCTCGATGTGTTGTTGAACTTGTTGGAGTCCAGGGTTTGTTAGGATCTTCTACGTTTGCTCTGTGAATGTTTGAAAGACGTTTAATTCACCGTTAGTGGTTCTTTTCACTCAGAATTTGAAAAAGACATTTTCCTTCTTCCGTGCTTCTATTTGTGCATCCGATAATGCAGCAGGAATTTACCATTATCGGGGATAAATACATGAGGTTACGCACTGTGTTAGACGCTACCGTGTTTCTTGCCTCCGACTAAAATATTTCCCAGCATGCAACGCGGGCTTTTAATAACAATGACGTCAGCTGAAACTCGCCTATAGGAAGTTTCTTATTTTTTATTTTATTTATTTGTAAAGAGACAGCACATATTAATGGACATTAAACATGTAAATATGTAAAGATTATAGCCAGCGAGGCTAATTTCCATCTTAAGTCCCTCGGCGGGTTGATGAAAAATCATTTACAGGACAAAGGAAAGTACAGCAACAATCACACAAAAGTACACAACACCTGCACACTCAGTATACATACAATTACAAATTTTACATACCATATTTTTCGGACTATAAGGCTGCGTTCAGACTGCAGCCTGAAGTGACCCAAATCCGATTTTTTGGCCCCTATGTGACCTGTATCTGATCTTTTAATGACAGTCTGAACGACACAGATCCGATTTTTTCAAATGCGACCCAGGACACTTCGATATGTGGTCCTAAAACTGATACATGTCTGATCTTTTGACATGCGACTTCAGTCTGAACGGTCAAAGCGCATTCATCCACCTACACATTAAGTTCAAGTTGTTCATGTTCTGGCTCCGGTACGAGAGGAACTTTAAAATCTCCAGGTGCTCATGTCCATGTTTGGACAACTTCCGTAAACAGAACAGTCAATCGCTGCGGTTGACGTCGTCATGTCTCCAGTGTCACATGCGGGACACTTTCGGGCCGTTTAATGTTCACACTGGAGTCACATACAAGTCACATTTAACTGGAAATGTGAACGACCTCGCAAAAACATCGGATTTCACAAAAAAATCGGAATTGAGCGTTAAGCCCTGCAGTCTGAACGTAGCCTATGTCACAGGAAACACCCAAAACATGAAAAAAAGTGCCCCTTATGGTCCAAAAAATACAGCACTTTCATAGTCCATATATTATAGGAATCTGAGTTATTGTTTAGTGGTGTCAGAATAGACAGATGAGCTTTACGACAAACTATGAGACATTCTTGGCAACGCAATAATGTCTCCATGGCGACAGTGCAAGTGGTTTCTCCTCCAAAAGAAAAGTTGCACAGTGCGACAGTGAAAAACAGACAGTGAAAAGGCGAGTCGTTTTCCAACACAATCCTGTTCCAGTCATTGTTGCCGTGATGATAATTGAAAAAGTTTGCAGGAGCTCGTGGGTTTAGGAGGCGTGAGCAGCAGCAGAGCCCGCGGCGCTCTGGCTGCTCTGGCTGCTCTGGCTGCTCTGGCTGCTCTGGCTGCTCTGGCTGCTCCGACTCCGGCTCGTGTAAAGTTGATCGCGAGTGACAGTCGTAAATATCCAGCATGTTGGAACCTCACGATTTGAGGCACTGGAGCTGTGACGAGACACAAAGAGGAAACAGAATCACACTGAACCCACAGACGTGAGCAGCGCCGGCACAAATAATCCACGATAATTGGGCTTAAAGGTCCAAACCAGAACTAAACCAGGTCTAAAACAGGACTAAAATCTGGTCTAAACCAGGACTAAACTAGAACTAAAACCAGGACTAAAATCAGGACTAAAACCAGGTCTAAACCAGAACTAAAACCAGAACTAAACCAGACTTAAACCAGAACGAAAACCAGGACTAAAATCTGGTCTAAAACCAGGACTAAACCACAACTAAACCAGGATTAAAATCAGGTCTAAACCAGGACTAAACCAGAACTAAAACTAGGACTAAAATCTGGTCTGAACCAGGTCTTATACAGGTCTAAAACCAGGACTAGACCAGAACTAAACCAGAACTAAACCAGATGTCAAAGCAGGACTTAAACCAGGACTTAAACCACAACTAAACCACAACTAAGCTAGAACTAAAACCAAGTCTAAATCAGGTCTAAAACCAGGACTAAACCAGATCTAAACTCAGGTCTAAACCAGGTCTAAACCAGAACTAAAACCAGCACTTAACCAGAACTAAAACCAGGACTAAAATCAGGTCCAAAGCAGGTCTAAAACCAGAACTAAAACCAGGACTAAAATGAGGGTTAAATCAGGTCTAAACCAGGTCTAAACCACAACAAAACCACAACTAAGCTAGAACTAAAACCAGGTCTTAACTAGGTCTAAAATTAGGACTAATATAGGACTAAAACTGAATATAACTAAGACTAAGCCAGCATTAAACCAGAACTAAAACCAGGTCTAAACCACAATTAAAACTAGGACTAAAATCTGGTCTAAATCAGGTCTAAACCAGGACTAAACCAGGACTCTAAATCAAGTCTAAAAAGCAGGATTTAAACAGGAGTTAAACATGTCTGAACGAAACAAAACTCTTAAACCTTTAAATCCGGATCCTCTTTAAATCTGGATCCTTTAAAAACCAGGCACAGGTCCTTTAACGTCGTCCTTACCTGAACTTCCTCGCCTGATCCTCGGGTCCTCGCCTGTGTTCCCGAGCGGCCCGTGAACGCCGCTGCGAGGAGGTGGGAGGAGGTGATTTATGGTCAGATATGCTAATGACCCGAGCGCCGAAACAAACACAACAGAAACACGACGCACACGGAGACGGAGACGGAGGGGGCGGGTCTCCACACTCACCAGTCTAATAAAAACGCTAATAACACGCCGCCGTCTCCAGCACGGAGTCTGAGGAGAGATCGTAACGGACAAACCGCACAGCAGGACGGGGATCTGCGCGGAAACTACTGACGCGAGTTTAAAGGGTTTATAATTTTAGATTACGACGCTATTTTTAGATCCGCGTTATAATGTTGTTTCCTCGTCGCAAACAAACCTCGAGTTGTTTTGTTTCATTCACACAAATCCTGCAAATTGAGGCCGAGTTCTCGTCTCGAAAAGAAAACACTCTGGTCCATTTTGCGATGCCAAGAGGTAATACAAGAAGTGCTCCGCTGTGTTTTTAAACTACAGAACATTCATTCCCAAAGACTGGGTCCACCTAGTGCCTTCACTAAAGTTTATTTCTCTCCGGCGACAAGGTCAGGAATCAGAATACACTAGATGGTTCGCAAAAAAACCTCCGGAAGTTCGGGCACCAGCCAATCAGCGAAGAGCTAGACATTCTGTGTTGGCAACGATTCACGAGATCGAGGATTTAAAGCCGGAACAAAGAGAATGTTTTGGTGAATTTTATCAAGAGGAAAGACGTTATTGTTTTTCTTACTACAAAATTTGAGAAAAGCTTAATATACCAGTTAGTCCTGTTAGCGGCACATTACATATGTCACGACCAAATAACAGTGATTGGTTAAATAAAAAAAGTACTCGCCTACCATCGAGCAAACGAATCCTAAGGCTGCGAGGTCAGACGGTTTCTACGAAGTGAATCGGGTCGGGTCGGTCGTATTACAGAATTGTTTGACCCTGACGACACGGATCATATTCTTTGAAAACCGTCGCACTTTCTTTACAAATCAGACAAACTGCTCGGTCCAACACGGAAGAAAAAAAGTAATCGGTCGTCCATTGTTCTTTGAAAACTCGGCACTCTTTGTCAACTTTTCGTACTTTAACACGAGTCATTTTGTTGTTCTTAACTGCACTACAGAACTCTGTGCGAGCTGACAAGTCAAAGCCGCACCACCCGCAGAACACGCAAACACACACGGAGCAGACAGCGACCGCACAACGAAAAAACACACCCACAGACACACTCATCACTCCACGCCGACGAGGAACGGAACGGAGGAACGAACCGAAAAAGCGAGCGCGACGTGCCACTTCTAGACACGACTGAACAACTGAGTCACTGCGAACACGCCGACAATCCGTTGGTCCCAGACAGCACCTCCCTACACGCCACAACTGAACAAAGCCCAGAGTCACCGTGAACGAACAAACAAACAAAACCACTCACCCATCACACTGTTGGGTTTCCTTTAAAGTCCCACGCGGTTTATTTGTGAAAAACGTTTGAAAATAGACCATTTAATGACAGTGCGCCTTATAATCCAGAGCAACTAATAGCCCGGAAAATATGGTAATTATTTAAATATAAATATAAATACTTCACATAAATATAATGTTTTAATTGAAAATAATCAACAAAATACAAGATGGAGACGTGTTATTATTTGCCAAAATGTAGTAAAAAAAAATAAGCCATGACAACTTTTGAGAATTTCCTCATAGAGCCAGTTCAAGTGACGTGGGGCAAAGGGGCGTGGAGGGCCGGAGTCGGAATCTGGACCTTAGGCTACGTTCAGACTGCAGCCTGACGTGACCCAAATCA